AGACAATTAACATAGCAGCAGAAGACAACTAACCTAGCAGCAAAAGACAACTAACCGAGCAACATCAGACAACTAACATAGCAGCTACAGGTAACTATCTTAGAAACATCAGACAACTAACATAGCAGCATCAGACAACTAACCTAGCAGCAAAAGACAACCAACCTAGATGCAAAAAGACAACTAAGCTAGCAACATCAGACAACCAACATATCAGCTACAGGTAACTAACCTAGCACCATCAGACAACTAACCTAGCAGCAAATATAACTAACCTAGCAACATCATACACTAACCTAGCAGTATCAGACAGCTAACTTAGCAAAAAATAAACAAAACATATTACTTTAATCTATTAAATGAAAGAATGAAAAACCTAAAATCGAAAAAGTTATTACAAACAAAAACAACAGCAAAAATACTCACCAATTTAAGACGAGAATCTGCGAAATCGCAGAGAATCTGCGAGAATAGACTACGAAGGATAAAACGGAAACAGAAATTGACACGTACCGCTCGCGAAATCGAAATCGAAATCGAAAATGGAAGAGAATGGAACAGAAACAAGGAGCAAGTGCGAAAATGAAGAGGGAAAGTAGAGTAGAGAGTTCTGAAGACGTACCGCGAAATCGGAAATATTGATTAATGTATTAAATTAATTCTGAACGTTAGATTAGATGAGTGGTGAACGGACCAGATCAGGTCTCACGTCCTCACTTTTAAAAACGGGGTGCATCTGAACCATTCCCTATATATATATATATATAAAATACAAAACAGTAATATATATCCTTATAAATAAAATTTAAATTTATTTATCAAACTAAATTAAATTATATCAAATAAAACTATATATTATATTATAAATTAATAGAAATTGGTATGTATCTTTTTAAAAATGATATTTATTTCAAATCTAATTGGTATGTTGTGAATGTAATAAAAATAAATAATTATTTATATAAGTTCTAAAATTACATATAAAGTTAAAAAACTGTGAAGCACGACTGATACGACACTTGATGTATTAGGCATCTAATTAAGTAAAATTATTAATCTATTTTGTTTAATATTAAATAAACATATTCTACACTTATGCATATACATATCACCATATTATTTCTATTTATTTAAGATATATATTTTTGTACTTATGTAATAGTAAATAATATCGATATTTTTATATGATATAAGTAAAAAAAAATTCAACATGGATTGACATTTTCATTTAATGTACGGGTGTTTAATTATTATGATTAAAATAATATAATTTGACAATTTAATTAAAATCCAAAGTAATGTTTTATATAAAATTAAATTATTTTAGTTTAAGAAAAATAAAAAATTTAATATTTTTTATAAAAGCTTTTTAATTCAACGCCCGTGTAATACACGGGTATTGTACTAGTTTATATTACTTGTCGATTAAAACATTATTATATATGTTAACGAAATATAGTGTGCAATATAACATTTATTAAGGTGCAATTCGTCCAATACTATGGTTCACGGTGTCGGTCTGTGTGTATTGTACAGGCCGAACCAATCGAATTTTTGTCCCAAATTAATTTGAAAATGAACATAATCATTTGGTTCGGTTAACCGAAATATCCTAAATAATCGAAATAATTCGTAATTTATATTAAAAAAATATATTCAATATGATAATAATAATTTTATTGAGTATTTTTAATTAGTTTTTGGTGAAAATTGTTGAGGTTGGTTGGTTCGATATCTATTGTGCAATCTGATAATCTTAATAAAGTGCAGCGTTTTGTACTGTAAAGTACAACATGTTATATAAAGTGCAACGTATTGATGTATAGAGTAAACTAGTGTAATTTTGATGTTAGCATTCTTGTGTTTTGTGTTGATAAAATATGTTATTGATGTTAAAGAATTATGTATATCCATTTTATATATTTATGTTGTGTGGTATTTTGGCCGGAGCTGTTGAAGTTAAATGTAGAGCGTGGCGATAAAGTGCAACTTGTTGTTTTATAAATTGCAACGTGCTGATATATAAAGTGCACTACTTTATATGATCATATATAAATTAAGTGTTTTTGAAACCATATATAAATAGTTTATTATTTTAATATTTTTTATATATTAAAATTTTTAAACTAAATAATTGAGACAATTTATTATTTTAATAGTTTTTATATATTAAAATTTTACATATTAAAATTTTTAAATATTGTACACTTTATTTATCATTAATATGCATTTATGATAATATTGCTATAAATTACATATTTTGTCATGAATTAAATTAAAAAGTTCTCAAAATTAATAAAATTATAAAATTGTCCCTCAACACAATTTTTTTTTAAATAAAGGAAATCAATTAAACCCTAAATCTCTAATTTGAATTTGCAAATTTAATACACATTTATATTTTAAAAAATATATTTTCAATTTTAATATTTTTTTATAATAATTTTATACTTTTTTTGGTTTATAATACATAATAAATATATTCTTTAAAAAAATGTATACAAAATGTTGTGTTTTTATATATTTTTCTATAAATTGCAAATTTTGCCCATGGGTTAAATTGAAATATATTTACGCTTTTTGAGTTCGCATATTGAGCCCAAGGGTTCAATTTCAGTTAATAAAAACTTTGAAAATTGCAAAACGGTCCTTGTAACTCATCAAATTTTCAAAGCATAGTCCTCAGCCCGAAACTCGTTTTTTTAATTGTTCTCCGGCGGAGGCAGACCTCCGCCCTGCCGCACCACCGTTGACCTTCTTGGCCGGTCAAACCACCTAAACACATTTCTTTTTTACCTGCGTACATCCAGTAGCGGCGGAGACGCAGATTCAAAGGCGGATGACGGAGGTCGGCCTGTGGGATGGTGGTGCTGCGGCCGTCCTGCTCGTACGTGTCTATATGTGTCATGTGTGTGCTTTGTGAGTTCCGGCGATGGCGTGCGAGCGGGCTCCGACGACGGTGTTTCAGCGGCTTCGACGACGGCGTGACTTTGGGCTTTGGCGATCGACGGTAGGGTGATGCGGGCAATGATGGCTGCGCATGGGCCGAGGGCCGGCGATGGTTGTACCTGTACGTAATGTGTGTGTAATGTGTGTGAGTTGGAGTGTGTAAAATGTGTGTGAGAGGGAGTGTGTGTGAGAACGTGGTGTGTGCACGCGTGCTTGTTGGGTGCGTGTGTTGTGCTTGTGTTTGAGTGTGCGTAGAGGTGACGTGGTGTGTGTGTGTGAGAGAGATAGAGAGGGAATAAGAGGGAGGATGTGGTGCGGCAAGTGGGTGTGTGTGGAAAAACGTCACGTTACCCTTAATGAATGTATAATTTTAATTTTTTTTAGCCATTAGAACATTCGATCTAATGACCACGATTTATTCTTATTTCTTTCACTAATCACTATTATCATGTGAACCCAACCCTGTATATGGTTTATATGGTTTATTGTTATATGGTTTATTTAGTTTCCTTTATCTTATTAGGTGGGCAAAAATACAAAAAAGATACACTAAGTTGGGCGTTGTCAACAAAAGAGACATTATGTTGTCCCTCTCGGAAAAGACACGCGAAGTTGGCATTTTCGTCGGAAACGATACATTAATCACCCCTGCGGGATAAAAATCTGACGTGGCCTGATTATCTTATTACGTGGCATTTAATCTTTCGGTATATTCATGCGTGGAATTTACGTGGCCGACACCGTGGACATGTGGCTTAATTTTGGAGGGAAATCCCAACACAAGAGTTGACCACCGAGGACCGAAGTATTAATTGCGGGAAAATCACAAATCAGATCCAATCCCTCATTTCGATCGGCCAAAATTAGGGTATTTCGAAGAACCCTAAAAATCGTCACCTTCAATTGGATCTCAATAATTCATTTCAAGTGTCAAAACATCAATAAAAGAAAATCACGAAGATGTCAACGTCTTCTTTTTCTTCTCCGTCGGACATTTTGTGCGGTTGTCTAGAGAAGGCCCAATTGAGGACTTCGAAGACGAGTAAGAATCCTGGGAAAAGATTCTATGGTTGTAAGAAGTGGAAGGAAGGAGGGTGCCCTTTTTTCATGTGGGCCGAACCAAGTTCTCAAATCAACTCAGAAACTTCATCAGGTATGAATAATCAAGATTTGGGTTGTAAGGCTCAAGAATCTGAAATGAAGATTGTTTTGCTGGAGGCTGAATTGAAAGTTCTGAAGATGAAGATTTCAATGCTTGAAGATTCTATTGGGAAATTTGATTCTCAAGTGAAGTTGATGATGGACAGGATGAAGAGAATTCACTTGTTTATTGTTGGTATTTGTATTGGTTTGATCTTATGTGTTTTAGTGAAATAAAGACTGAATTGTTCATTCAAAAAAAAAGTGGGATCTGTTCTAATGTACTGAATATTTGTTGGTTGATTATGAAGTGGACTGATTTCTGTGTTTGTTGCTTATGAAGTGTATTGAATTGATATGTTGCAGAAATGTTTTTTTGACCAGTTAGCACACACTGAAAAAGACGAGCAATAGGTATTAGATATTGACAGCTGAGATCAAAATTCAGATATTGTCAACTGAGATCACACAACAATTGAATAAGGTGTAAAAACACAACACTTTAAAACCAATCACCATTCACCATAAATCATCCATTACAAATCAGATCCAAAAAACCATTCAAGCCAAAACAACACAACATCTCATAACCATAACCTTCCCAAACAAAACAACACAGTTTTTTCACTTTTCACCATCACACCATAACCATAACCATTCACAGCAAAAACATTCACAGCAAAACAACTTTGAAGTACAAAACACAAAAAACTGTCAAGTTCATAACAACACATTCAGAATAATCATCAATCATCCATCATCACAGCAATTTCTGTTTTCCTCTGCCATCATCACTCTTCTTTGGATTGTTCATGCCAGATATAAGCTCAGACACAGATATGTACTTCTGTCCTCCTTCTTGAAATATTTGTTTGAGCCTAGTGTCCCTCTCTGAAAGGCAACTTTCTTGACTTGGTATAAATTGACCCACCTGAAATGTAGGAGGCCCTCTAATGTTCACCCCAGAAGTTGGACCCAACTGAGCAGAAGTATATTGATTGTACATTGAAGGTGCTTGAATGAATTTTGGGACTGTGGTTTGTTTTTTCCCTTCCTTTCTTTTCTTGTGGGCTTGGCCTTCACCCTGCAAGATAATTTATAATATAAATACAACTATGAATTTTCAATGATGAAATAAGGCACAAAAAAGTATTTCTTACAGTTACAACACTTTCTTGAGTTGAAACTCCTATTGCAGGAGCTTTGTCTGTCATCCTTCTAGCCTGAAAGAATAAAAATTTTCTTTTTAGTAAACAAGGTAACATAATTTGAATTCATTATTAAATTTAAACCAACATTATAAAAGTACCTTCAGCTTTTGAGGCCTATCTTCTAGACCAATGGCTGCAGGATCTGCATTACCTTCCTTCATTAGAAGACAGCCTCTCTTGTTGTGGCCTTCCACATGGCAAACAGTGCACTTCAACCCTGTTTGCTGCCTTTTGATAGTATTGGCTGGAGTCACAAGTCGAGGCTTAACCCTTTTTTTTCTAATTCTTTTAGGTTGAACCTCATCAGGTTCCATTCTCCTCACTCTAGTGGGCCTACCAGCTGCTCTACCATTATTAGGTGGCAATGGAGGGGCATATCCTGTCCTTCTCCATTCTTTTCTGCCATTGATGGGCATTATGGCTGGAGCATAAACCTTTTTATAGGTCTCTGTTTTGTAGCATGGATGTATGAAATCATCAATGTTCCAGCCTTGAAAATGAATAGCACTTACTGCATGGATACAAGGAATTCCACTCAGTTGCCACCTCCTACAACCACAACTCTTGTTTTCCAAATCCACTTTGAACTGATCACCATTGAACACCTCAATTTGGAAATTGAAATCATTAGACTTCAATGGGATACAGTCAACCAAATTTTCAATATGGTTATCAATTATCTCCCTCACCTTAGGACAAAATAAAAAATCCCACTTTTCTGCCTTATCTCTATTCAGTTGCAACCTTTTCATCAGGTAATTCATGATCCACTCAAGCATTGATAAGATGGGCATACTTCTAGCTTCTAAGATGTTGCAGTTGAATGTCTCACAACCATTATTTAGCAACATGTCACACTTGGGAAACTCACTGAAATGCGACCTGCTCCATTGATGAGGTGGTTTGTCACTTAACCAGTCATAAGCACTCTCTTCCAACCCTTTCAGTGCATCCATTTTCCTTGAAAAATCATTGACTGTAGATGCTGTAGCTGCTCTCCAAACTGCATTCTTAAACCCAATCCCTCTAAAACCTGCATTTCTGAAGTTACCCAAAAGGTGCCTCACACAAAACCTGTGATCTGAGTTAGGCAACACTTGTTGAAAGGCCTGAATCAGTCCTTTCTGTTTATCAGAAATAAATGTCCACTCATGTTGCTTTTCAATCTCAAGGTCCAATTTCAACAGCAAAATGAACCACTCCCAGTTGTCTCTGTTTTCCTTTTCAACAATAGCATAAGCTAAAGGAAACAAGGAATTGTTAGGATCTACTCCCACAGCACATAGTAGCACTCCCTTGTTGGGGCCTTTCAAGTGACAGCCATCCACTCCAATGATGGGTCTGCAACCAGCTTTAAATCCAACTTTCAGTGCATTCAAGCAAATGTAGAACCTGTCAAACAAGTTCTCCCCACTACTATCATCAGTACCCAAAATCACTGTGCTCCCTGGATTAGTCCTTTTAATCTCATCACAGTAATCCCAAAGAAGAGCATACTGGTCATTAGGACAACCAGTCCTTTCTGCAAGTGCTGTCATTTTTGCCCTATATGCTTGTGCTCTAGAGAATGTCACTCTCAGCTCCCTCACTTTACTGTCCCTAAAACCCTTAATCTTTCTATCAGGATCACTTTGCAGCTCATGAGCATATCTACCAGCAAGCCATCTTGATGTAATATTTTTAACCTTTGCTGTGGCAGCACAAGTATGAGTGTGAGTGTACTTTATCACTTGCCAGGCCTCCTCTCCATTGATCTTAGTTGCATGCAGCTTCCAATTACAAGCAGCATCAACACATTTAGCATGAACATACTTCCTATCTCTTCTAGTTAATTTCACACTTCTTTTGCATTTGATTGCATTTGACTGAATTGCTGTCCTCAGTTCACCTTTGGTACTGAAAACCAAACCTACCCTGAAAGTAGGATCATATAACTCTGCAGTGTTGAAAATAGGATACTGGTGACCTACATTCTTTCCTTCAGAACTATCATCACTATGCAAATCATCACAATTGACCACATCAGTTTCATTTTCAACTGAGATACCATCATTTGCACATTTCTTAACACCTTCCCCCTGACCATGCAACCATTCAGCATCAAAATCCACATTATCATCAAACATCTTGTCATCTACCTTGTCAGCTTCCATATCATACTCCCAATCCAAAATATCATCATCACTCTCCTCACTATCCTCACTATCCTCACTCTCCTCACTCTCCCCACCAACACCACCATCAGCATCAAACCCACCATTCTTAGCCATAAACTCAGCAACCTCATCCACGACCTGATTTAAATCTTCATCACTCTCCTCACCCTCATCAACCTTCTCAGCCTCAATCTCAACCCCAAGCTCACCCTTCTCAACCCCAAGCTCAGTCTCACCCTCACCCTCACCCTTCTCACCCTCACCCTTCTCACCCTCACCCTCAACCTCACCCTCCTCTGCCTCAACCCCAACCTCAACCTCAACTTCATCCACATTTTCATCAAACAAGATGTCATCCAACTTGTCAACTTCACTATCATTCTCCCACTCAAAAGTTTCATCACTATCAGTCTCACCCTCACCCTCACCATTCTCACCCTCACCCTCACCCTTCTCACCCTCACCCTTCTCACCCTCACCCTCAACCTCACCCTCCTCTGCCTCAACCCCAACCTCAACCTCAACTTCATCCACATTTTCATCAAACAAGATGTCATCCAACTTGTCAACTTCACTATCATTCTCCCACTCAAAAGTTTCATCACTATCAGTCTCACCCTCACCCTCACCATTCTCACCCTCACCCTCACCCTTCTCACCCTCACCCTTCTCACCCTCACCCTCAACCTCACCCTCCTCTGCCTCAACCCCAACCTCAACCTCAACTTCATCCACATTTTCATCAAACAAGATGTCATCCAACTTGTCAACTTCACTATCATTCTCCCACTCAAAAGTTTCATCACTATCATCTTCACCAACCTCATTTTCAATTTCAGGTGCATTAACAATTTCTGTATTTTCACTTAGCTCTTCAACAAACAAACTAACCTCCCTAACCTTGTTAAATTGTCTTTGCCACACACTCTCAAGATCAGTCTCAGTTGAAAGTAACATGAAACTCCCACAACCAACATATGTGTGCAGTCTCATAGGATTTTTGCACCCTTTAAATTCTGCCACAGACTTAAAGTCAGCAAGTGTGACCCTTTCATAATCCACATAGTCAAACATTATTGTACTCCCACCTAGATATGCAGAATATTTTTTCCCAATATCAAATTTACCCCCAAATTCTAGGGTGACTGTGAAGAATTTACTAGTTGAACCTGCAGTAACAATAAAAATTACAATGAAAAAGCATCCAGGAAATGAAAATAGTGTAGACTGACAAAATTAAAATTAAAATTAAATACATACTATATCTAGGAGCTGGGGAACATTCTTTGTCACTGGGTCGTATTTGAATCTCGCAGTCGGAAACACGAAGGCCTCTTGCTAACTTCAAAATGGGATTCGATTTTCGAACTGGTTTTTTCTTCATTGTGACAGTGGTTGATTGATTAAGGTCGAAATTGATGTAAGTGATTGAACTGGAAGATAATCTAGGTTAGTTTTTCTTCATTATGTGAGTGATTGAGGTCGAAATTGAAATGAAGATAATCTAGGGTTTTTTCTTCACGATTGAAATGCAATAGGGGCGGGGCAGACGTACAGGTGTGTGGGATTTCCCTCCAAAATTAAGCCACATGTCCACGGTGTCGGCCACGTAAATTCCACGCATGAATATACCGAAAGATTAAATGCCACGTAATAAGATAATCAGGCCACGTCAGATTTTTATCCCGCAGGGGTGATTAATGTATCGTTTCCGACGAAAATGCCAACTTCGCGTGTCTTTTCCGAGAGGGACAACATAATGTCTCTTTTGTTGACAACGCCCAACTTAGTGTATCTTTTTTGTATTTTTGCCTTATTAGGTGTCCGACTAGGAAAAGGTAGAATCAAGAGTGGACGAGATTTTTTCTTGGAGATTAAAAAGGAAAGGAATCAAGGAGATTAGTCTCTTGGAATTGAATAAAAAAGGAGCAGAGGGCGTGTGTGTCATATATAGAAAAGGAGCACTCATAATTATTTTCTTGCTTTTTTTGTCATGAGGACAATAAAAACCGTAAAAATCAAAACAACTGAGTGGGGGTTTTGATAGTCTCTTGGAATTGAATAAAAAAGGAGCAGAGGGCGTGTGTGTCATATATAGAAAAGGAGCACTCATAATTATTTTCTTGCTTTGGAGGATATTGGATTAGATAATTAGTTTTATTTAGAAAAAGGAAGCAGCACATCTATTATTGGGCTTGGGAAGTTTCAGCGCCGGGCTTATACACAAGCAAACAGGAGCAGGCTTTGATATATCTTATCTTTTCTCTTTGTCATGATATATTTGATTGTAGGATATGACATAGTGCATCTTTTGTCAAACTCGTGTTTTGATTTTTTTTTTTCGTAGTGCACTAGACGTGTTATGATCCAAGTTGTGTGATCTTGTCACTTTGTGTGATGTCTGAATTATGAAACTATCTTCCATGTAGTGAGCTATGATATTGTCACTTTGTGTGATGTGTGAATTAAGGATCTATCTTCTATGTCTTCGAATAAGTAGTGCTTTCTGTGTAGTGAGCTCGCGAGTTTGAAAAATTTGGGTGACTATGAGATTGATGTGCATTATGATTGTGAAGTCTATATTTACGGCTTTGATATTAATATATTGATATAATTCCTATTGAATTTGGTTTGTCCGTAATGAGATTTTGTGCGTTTGCATCTCTTTAGTCTGTCTTTACCATTATTTTATGTCAAATTATTCTTGCTTGCTATTGTGCTTTATATAAGGCCGTGCCCACGCCTTATAAAAATATGTTGATGATCTTTTTTGGTTGTTTTTTGTCCATTTTTTCGTTAAGGGAAAAAAATATAATTTTTGTTTTTTTCGGTTCTAATTTTTTATTCTAACTTTTTGTTTCCTTTAGTGTTTGTCTCTTCCCATACACTCTCTTGTAGGGCACAACCGCACAACCCTTCGAATTAAGGGGGAGCTTAGAAATCGAGCATTCATTTGCCGGTGCACGATGAGTTTAATTATTGATATAGAAATCGTCAAGTGCTTGAGTTGAGGGGGAGCCAAAGCCGAGTTCGGGCCACACCACTCTAATATTCGGCGTCTATAGTCTATGTTTTCTGACCAAAAAATGGGGAGATGAAGTGTTTTACTTTATCACTGTTTGCATTTCTCTTCCTAATCTCTTTTATATCAGTTTTTTCTTTTCATTGTGTTATTTAGAGGGAGTTGTTGATTATGCTTTGGACTGTTTTCGTTTGTGTATATGGTTTTGTTCAGAAAAGCAAAAAAGGGGAGATTGTTGAATACCTATTTTTTATATTTTTACTTTATCTTTTATTTTGCTTTTCTGATTTATTTCTGTATATATATATAATTTTTAAATTTTAAAAATACAGTTGGATCATCTGAGAATGATAGATAGTGAAAGAAACGAAAATAAATCTGGACCATGAGATCAATCATATTAATGGTTTTGATGAAGTCAAACTATGGTCAATCATTAAGAGCAATCTGGTATTTATTTGATCATATTGTGGTCAAATATGTACATTTGACCAATAACTAAGGGTAGTTTGGACATTTAATTCAAGCAAAACAACCTTGTAGGACCCACCATTACACATTAATAATTAATATAAGCTAACCCACCTACCCCCCTCATTCATCTTCTCAGACACACACACACACACATTACACAACACACAAACAGTGTTTAAGTGCCAGACCAATGTGCATATGCCGCTCGTCCGCCGCGCCTCCGCCATCTCAGCCCGCCGTTCGTCCGCCGAGCCACCGTATACCTTCACAACCCTGCCTCCGTGCTTGTCGGGTGCGTGTGATCGACGGTAGTGTGATGCGGGCAATGATGGCTGGGCATGGGCCGATGGCCGGCGATGGTTGTACTTGCACGTAATGTGTGTGTAATGTGTGTGAGTTGGAGTGTGAAATGTGTGTGAGAGGGAGTGTGTGAGAACGTGGTGTATGCAGGCGTGCTTGTTGGGTGCGTGTGTTGTGCTTATGTTTGATTGTGTGTAGAGGTGACGTGGTGTGTGTGTGTGAGAGAGAGATAGAGAGGGAATAAGAGAGAGGATGTGGTGCGGCAAGTGGATGTGTGTGGAAAAATACCACGTTACTCCTAATGAATGTATAATTTTGACTTATTTTTAGCCATTAGAACATCCGATCTAATGACCACTATTTATTCTTATTTCTTTCACTAAGCACCATTCTCATGTGAACCCAACCCTGTATATGGTTTATTGTTATATGGTTTATTTGGTTTCCTTGTCTTATTAGGTGTCCGACTAGGAAAAGGTAGAATCAAGAGTGGACGAGATTTTTTCTTGGAGATTAAAAAGGAAAGGGGGCTGCGTTTTTTTGTCATGAGGACAATAAATATCAACGGTTTTGCAATGAAGCCAACAGTTGGCTTCGTAGTGGAGTCAACTTTCTATATACAACAAATAAACCTACTATATTAATAAAATTATATTAGTGTTATATAAATAATCAGAGAATATGGTATGTTTATTTGTTGTATATAGAAGGTTGGTTCCACTATGAAGCCAACTGTTGACTTCATAACAAAACCGTAAAAATCAAAACAACTGAGTGGGGGGTTTTGATAGTCTCTTGGAATTGAATAAAAAAGGAGCAGAGGGCGTGTGTGTCATATACAGAAAAGGGGCACTCATAATTATTTTCTTGCTTTGGAGGATATTGGAGCAGGCAATTAGTTTTATTTAGAAAAAGGAAGCAGCACATCTATTATTGGCCTTGGGAAGTTTCAGCACGGGGCTTATACACAAGCAAACAGGAGCAGACTTTGATATATTTTATCTTTCTCTTTGGCATGTTATATTTGGTTATATGATATAACATATTGCATCTTGCGTCAAACTCATATTTTTTTTCGTAGTTCACTAGACGTGTTGGAGATTTTTGGAATTGTTAGAAAAACATTGTGATTGATTTGTTTTAATGAATGTTTTGGCATGTGGTCTTAATCTACAAGTGATTTTCACTTGTAGGCTAAATTTGAATTCTTTTGTGTATATTTATTTTCCGTTGCGTATTTTATTTTAATTTTTTATCTTTGTATGAAAAATATTGTTTTTTTGCTACCTAAAATTCTAACACTGTGCTTTGGATGCCTTAGTTTAAACCCACTAGCGGAAAGTTATGACAGTCATATAGTATAGTGGATATCCTTTTTCCCTACTTTACTTCCTTAGTTCATGCTACTCAAATCACCCCCACTATGTAGAACATTTTTTGAGCAATAATTTCTTCCTGGAATGATTAAGTAATACTTGCACCCCAGATATTCCTAATCTTTATTACTATTTGTTTGGCCGTACGTCTTCCTTAGTTCTGCTTCTTCTTTTTTGTTTCTTTTTCTTTTTAAATAAGCCATGGTAATTAAGATAGCCTTGGGATTAATGGAATGGGAGGTGGACCGCAGACCTGCCACATAGTGAGGCCACCAAAAAAGAAAAGAAAAGAGAAAAGAAAAAAGAAAAAAAGGCTTTGCTATGATTATAATCCAGCCAACAAACGCGATTAATGGAATGGGATGTGGACCGCAGACTCCATTGTGGAATACGCTTAAGAAAAATGAGTGCTTCTTCTTACCGACCCAAAGAGGCCTAGTTTATTAATATCGACTCAAATCTCATATCTACTCAGAAATGGCCTCCTCCTTGAAGACCCTCGCCGCTCTCTTTCATGTTTTCCCAATAATAATCCTTGCTGGATTCACAGAGGAGATTAAGCACCACCAAGCAGACGACAGCACGATGAAGACTGCCCACCTGCATTTCTACTTCCACGACATCGTCAGTGGGAAACACCCGACGGCCGTTACGGTTGCCGGCCGGAGAAACGAGTTTGGTGGCACGGCGGTGGTCGACGACCCCCTCACAGAGGGGACGAGTCCCGAGTCGACGGTAATTGGGAGAGCTCAGGGGCTGTACTCCATGTCCTCTAGGGACCTCTCTTCCCTGCTCATGGTCATGAATTTCGAGTTCACAAAGGGCAAGTACAACGGGAGCTCCCTCAGTGTTCTCGGGAGGAACCCATTTCTCGAGGCTGTGAGGGAGTTGCCGGTTGTAGGGGGGAGCGGGATTTTCAGGTTCGCGCGGGGCTATGCGCTGGCAAAAACCCAACGCTTCAATTTGAACACAGGGAATGCTGTGGTGGAGTACAACGTCTATGTCATGCATCCCTAAATATTGAACTTTAGTGATCTCATGGAAAATATCTTATTATCGCTTGTTTTCTTGAATTATGTAAAATAAATTAATGTGGCATCTCATGGAAACATCTTATTTTATTATGGCTTGTTTTCTGTTGTCTTCTATCGCGTATATTAATGTCACTGTTCTAAAAATCAGCCTAGGCGGCCGCGAAAATCGGCCAGGCGAGCCTAGGTGCTCCTAGGTAGACTTGGCGGGCTCGGTGGCCAGGCGGTTAGGCGGTGCCTAGGCTGGCATAGGCGGACCTAGGCACTCTTTTGCGAGCTCGGCGACAATTTTTCAGTTTTTTTTTTCTTTTTTAAATATTAATTACATTATTTTGTTTGCATCTTTTTAGTAAAATATATCAATATAATTATTGGGAATTAGGTATGTGGATTTATTACAAGTTGAGATAGTTTTATTTTGTAGGGAATTAAAATAAATAAAAATAAGATATTTAATATTGATTTCTAGGCCCCGCCTAGGTGCTATGCGCTGGTCGAGCGCCTAGCAGGCGCCTAACGACTTTTAGAACACTGATTAATGCCGGTAAACTGTTGGTAACACACGCTTCAGATTTTCTCATAGCAACTTTAATAATACAAACCCTCCAACGCTTCTGATTTTCTCATAGCTACTTTAATAATACAAACCCACACACCTCATTTGGTTATTTCATGCCACAACAGTCAAAATCTCATTCTTATTCCTACATTCATAAACCTCTAATAACAATAAACCTCACAAACCTCTTTTTTATGGATCTCACATGTTTCTTACTTACTTTTAATTGGTACTAGTATTCGACCATGTGCATTTACATAGATATAAATAAAGTATTATAAGTTATGTGCATTAATATAATATTAAAATTATAAGTTAAATAATGATATTAAATTCTAAAAATATAGTATTATAAGTTATATTTATGTATATAATATTAAAATTATAAGTTAGATAATGGTATTAGGTTTTAAAATTTGATTGTTGGTTAAAATAAATTGTACATTTATATTTATGTAACTTTCATAGATCATATAGTGTAAAATATACTTAAATAATAAATGTTTTATGATACAATAAAAAATACAATTATTACTCTATTAATATAAAATATAACGATTTTTGTTTTAGTTAACCCGAAAAAAAAGTGCAAGGAAATAAATTATCATTAATGTGATAGGCTAAATTAATGTAATAAT